TCACACGGCAATGAATGCTACACTGTTTTGCTTCACATCGTTTCGGTTTTAATAGGCACAATACATGAAAGTAATAACTACAGCAATTTTGTACGCAATTTAATTATTATGTGATTACAATTTCGAGCAACAAAAATGTGTCTCAACAAAAACACCTCTATCTAATCAAACAGGCATTAGTTGAATAAATTGTTCTTGAACGTCCATTTTTGTAATTGCGTTTTAATCCGCTTCGATTGGTCATGCTTTTTATTTGTTTTACCGATTGTGAAATGTGAACAGATGGTTATGTTTTCATTTAATATAATTTTCATGAAACGTATAGGTAATGTAAGATTTATTTAAAAAAAATGTTACAATTTTCAAGAATACCTATAGCGTAAATTCAAAATATAACATAAATATCATCCTTTGGTTCAAAAACTTATTATTACAACGATTTCTCCTATTTCACTAATATGTACGAAAAGTATCGATATTGATGTCCAGATGCAAATAGCTTATAATTCAAACAGCCAATTAAACAGTACTGTCAGATGCCGGCAAGAGAAGCCCTGGTGGCGACCCCGTGAAAGTGTGCTTGTTGCGGCCCCCCCCTTTTTTTTTCTTTTCCCCCAAACCCCCCAAAAAAAAAACCCAAAGTAACCCCCCCCCCCCCCCAAAACCCACCCCCCCCCAAATTTTTTTATTTAAAATATTTCCTTTTTCCCAAAAAAAAAATTTTTTAAAAACCCCCCCCCCCCCCCCCCCCCCCCCTTTTTTTTTTTTTTTATTTTTTTATTTTTAACTTCGGCCTGACGTTTCGGCTGCTGCAAAGCATCGGAAACGTCGGGCTGAAGTTAAAAATCATTTTCAAATAAGTTAACTAATATATCGCGTTTTAAACCGTTAAAGTGTTTAATTTACATGTGTACTACTCGCGTAAACTATAGATAGTATTTAAAAAAATATATGTTTAGCGTTTAGTCCGCTTGCATATCGCGATTTCATTTCACGTATAGCGCAGATAATATCAGTGCAGCCGTCGACCTCTCGTCAGCTCCTTAAAGCTATAAAAATGCGATCTACGTTTCGTCTGCAACGTCATGAAACCAGTTGCGATTCCTTCAGGCGGGTTTCGGCTTATGTAACAAATTAAGCCAGTGTGCCGATTAGGGGGCGGGGCTTCGTCGACGGCTCTTGAATTAATCGTGCATCCGACGATGCACTTTCAATCTCAGTGTCCCGTTACGCTTTCATTCATAGATGGACTCGAAAAAACAGCGTTTCATTTCACTGGCTGAATATATTTATGCGTAAGTTATACGAAGTGAATCGAACTGCTTCAACTGATTGAAATGCAATTTATTTTGAGATTTTATATGATCGGATTCTTTTCGATAGCTTAGCTTAGCTATTGCTGAAGATGGCTTTTTTTTACATCTTTCCTCATATAAAAAAACAATAAGAAAACAAAAAATCGAAAATTCAAATAAGACACTTTCCTCCCCCCGGTTACCTCAGCTTCTGCAATGCGTCCGAATTGTCATGCCGTAGTTGTTAAATAATAAATTTCGCAATTTAAACCGTTAAAAGTGTTTTATTTAAATGTGTACTGCTCGTGTAAACTGACCATACCAGGTGACTTATGAACTATATGCAATTTGTTATTTTTATATGCTATTTTTACTGAAATCGTTATCAAATTTGGAACAAAGTAACGGTTTATTACACGATATCGTGTAGTATTACATAAAAAACAGTTCTTTTATCGCTAATATTTATTGTGTGCGCTTGGAGCGCTTGTTTTAGTTGATGTGGGTGTCAAAGACCACACTCGGGAATTGTATTGAATAATGTGCCCTTCGTTTCGTAAGTACGTATTGAACAGCTAAACTAAACTTTCAACTTTTTGAGTACTGTTAGCTTAGTAATAAAATCAAGACTTAAAATAAAACAAACGTATTACACTGTCTAATGTCTACCGTAATAATTATTAAAGCAACTAATGACAAAAAAAAAATTCGGATCATGTATTTGTTATATTTTCTGCCCTTTTCGTATAGTATAGATGTTTAATTATTCATTTTTCGTACACGATTTTGACGAAACATTTACGCTCATATAAAATATTTGTAAGTTTATAACATACTACAAGAGAGAAATACCGAGATTTCAGTGTTCGCAAACTTGTCGCTGAAACGTTTGAAAACTTTAATATTCTTGACATGTTATTGCACATGATGGCACTACATAAATAAAAATCGATTATAAATTTAAAGAAATTTACGACTCGGACAGGACTTGAACTGGCATTATCAGCGTTCAGTGCTGTTGCTCAAACCAATTGAATGCCGGTTCACTCCTAAATCCGAGTCGTAACTTTAAAAAAAATATATAATCGTTTTTTTTATTTGTCGCTGAAACTTGGATAATATCCGCCAACAAAGTACTTGACGTTGCCAACTTGCGATGAAATCCCCGAAAGTATGACGTGTTATTCATCTAGATTACTTAGGGCACGCTATAAACTCGGGTTCACGGTCGCTACATTACCACAGGTGGGCAGAACATGAGAAATGTGCAGTCAAAGACAGCAAAAGATTCGTCATAACTTGTGACTATTAATAATTAATACAGATTGCCAAAAGAAATATACTGTCTGTAGCTTACGCGAGTAGTCACATTTAAATATAATACTTTAATAGTTTAAAAGCGATATATATTAGTTAAACCTATTACAAAGCATCCGAACGCCGTAGTTAAAATAATTTTCAAATAAGTTTGCCTAGTATATATCGCGTTTTAAACCGTCAAAGTGTTTTTATTTTAAAGAAAAATATTTAAAATGCCTCATTGTACAGGTTCGTTCGTTCGTACGTTCCTCTAAAAAGGTCTGGTCCATTCCATTCCCTATAAAAGTTTCCACATAAAGCGAGTGAAAACAGTGTTTTATCTCAATTTTGCTTACCATAAGGCTATGTAAAAATTGTAATTTAATTACCTTAAAAACATGCCGATAACGTTATTTTTGTTTTTAAATAAAATAAAAAAAATGTATTCGTAACTACTAGTTTCTAGAATAAACTCATTTATTTAATTTCTTACAAGTTATGATATACTAACTTTTTATACAACATCTAATTAGTAAAGATTATGTTCAAATACCAACAAAAAAGTTTTAAACGTTATCCAGTTTTTCCTCTAGCGTTCACGGAACCGCAGTAGCCGATACACGTCTATTATTCTCTTAATGTTGAGATTTAATAACATGGTACGGCGCGGACCAATCGGGCAACGAATAGAAATGACCGGCAAACTAATGAGAGCGCTTCGCAAAAAAATCGCTGACTAACTGACATTTGGTATTGAATTATTCTAGAATCTAGCCAATACGCCTCTTGAATATATTCACGAAATAGCAAATAGCGGAGGTAAGAAACCATACTGTCATCCAAACACCATAAAATTTATTAATACGTGTAGTAAGTGCTGCATTTTTGCCCCCCCTTACACACCGGTGGGGTCCTTTTTAGATCCTGTTTAAAGGGATCTTTCTTTCCTTTTTTTTGGTTTTTTTGACCTTTTTCCGAGGGGCCCCCACACCAACCCCCAAAAGAAATATTTCTATTAATGTTTCCTTCTCGATAAATACTCCATCACACCATTCCACATATTCTGGATAGCCGTTCAAACAAACAAACTCTTCAGCTTTATATTTAAAATTTATACCGTATTTTAAATAATACACCCAGCGCACACAACATGATCATCATACTAGATTTGCTTTTAACATGTTTTAGAAGCATTAGGCATTTAGTTATCTGGACGTAGACCTGCGAGTACCGGTTAGTGAAGAAGTCTTAATTGTGCCTCGGCGAATCCTTAATCACAAGATTTGCCTTGATCGCAGTTGATTCAATTTGTCATAACTTTTTGCAACATTAGCATTTACTAAATCACCTCTGGGCGGAGAGTCATTTGTCTTTTTAATATGGGATATGACCATTTATAATTTTTACACTCTGACTGGGATCTTTTGTTCCTTATTATGTTGGTTAGATGTTCTGCGACTATTATATTCCTCAAAGCCATTGTCAGATAAAAATCTTACAGTTTATCACCCTCATTTGTATTTAGTTTATCGAGGAATTAATGTGTGACTACTAGTTTTAGATCAGTTTATATTTCTTTGTCCTTTTGCGTTTAAACTAGATGTTTTTATTACTGTTTTCTTTATAACTGCAATGAATCGTTTTTGCAGAATCAATAATTTGTACTTTAAAATTTTCAATGGTGTTCCTCAAGGCTAAATCTTTTCTTTCATTCTTTATAATCTCATCTACCTGATTCTCTATTATATACCTTTATATATTTTTATTTTATTTATATATACCTACCATTACCCGTTTCCAATTTTCTGTCCGATTTGATTTAAACGATCGTTAATATCCATCCAGTCTGCACTTTGATTGACTTGGCAATAAAACGGCACGCTTTTTGCATAAGTTTATCATCGAGATTGATAATTTTACGAAAGTCTAATTAGGAATTCTGGTATGATGCCTAGAACGGTGCGTGGAGCAATAAAATTTTATCGTAGACACTAAAAATTCAAATTAACGAACTCTGTAGATAGTACGAATTTTGCGTAATTTATTATTTAATTCGATGTACAGTGATACTACTCACTACATTGTTTGTAGTTTACGCGAGTAGTAAACATTTAGATTATAACACTTTAACGGCCTAAAACGCGAAATAATAATGCGCGCGGTAATTTTGTTAACAAATTATTTTACACAGGGACCGACGTTTTCAATGCTTTGCAGCAGTAGTCCAGAGAGATCTACCACCGTGACCCTCGGCAGGCTGTTTTGTTGAAACTGCTTACTATTTAAATTTTTATTTACATATATTATATAATACATCTACATAATGATATTGATCTAAGGTGATACTCAAATGGAAGAAACTTATCGGGCTTTTACTTTATTTAATATTCTATATCATTGCTTCAGGAGAACATAGACCCGTCACCCTTCAGCTTATCACCGGTGTCTGCGAAATCACAGAAGCTATTGAGATCCCCACGAAAAGCCACAAGGAAAATATCACGGATACCATTCAAGGTACGTTAGCAATGAAAAGTTTTTTCGGAGGATTACAAATGTCTTTCCAAGTGTCCCTCGAAAGCACCGTTGCGAGTTTGTGGTGTGTTTAGCGGTTCTGGTCGGTTTTTGTCTCCAAGAAGGCTGTAGTACGACTTACCACACTTCCCACGTCACTATTGCACTAGGCATTCACACCATCACTAAAAAAAGGGGGTGAAAAGTTGGTACAAGACGTCAACAGCATCGAGGTTTCAGTGACTAATATGGTACCATTATTTTGCAGGTCCTGGATGCCCCAGACCTCCAGGACGACTTCTACCTAAATTTGGTGGACTGGTCAGCTCAGAACGTGCTCAGTGTGGGTTTGGGTAGCTGCGTATACCTTTGGAGCGCTTGCACAAGTCAAGTAAGTTGTTTTTATAATTTAGCGATTGATTCAGGAGGTTAAACTATCATTAGAAAAAGTACTTTATTATTGCAAATTCATTTAAACGTGTCTTTGAAAAATACCTCTTCACAAACAAGTGTTCTTTATAACGATTCGATTTCTGATCTATCCATCAACGTGGATACAGTCAAAATAAGGATAGTGAAAAAAACAAACGAAAGTCAGTGTAAAAATTCTTTAATGTAGCGTCTACAGAATAGTTTTGAATAATGTATCCCAATAGACAATAATATTTCCCATTATTAAGTATATTTTACCAGAAATAAAGATTTATAAGGCGTAATAAATTAACGACTAGATATGGTAGACGTATGAATTTAAGTTAATAATTAAGGTTAAACCTCAGAACTTTAATAAATATAAATAAATACAAGGCGTTACATAGTTTCACGTAGACCTCAAATGCGTCATCGACACATAATGTAAATAGTAAAATACCATAACAAAAAATGCCATTGGCCCATAAGGGGATCGATCCCGCGACCTTCGAGTTATAAGCACGACGCTCTAATCAACTGAGCTAATAGGCCATTGGACGGAGCCTAGAAATACTCAGACACATTCTACCGGCCGCGGTTGTACCGTGTAAAATTATTATTATTTAAAAACTTGTATAAAAAGCTATAAAATCCGTCTGGTTTAGACGTGCATGCGTTTTTTGCTTGCCGGATTATGCGCGATGTTTCGGCAGCCAAGTGTATATTGAACGAATATAAAGAGTTCCGTATATAAATAAATAAGATTTTCGTCTGAACTTCTCTCTAATTAGACCACCTCGCCACCCCCAGTTTACAATACAATACTTTAAAAATCAGTAAGACGTGGAAATTATAAATATTGCCATAGATGGCGCTAGCTTAGCAGATTTTACTTTAATATTAGGGGCACCCAACCATCTTCAATCCCCACGCCACGGCTGCAAAGCATCTGAAACGATGGACCGTAGTAATTGAGTAAACTAATATAAATTTCGTTTTAAACCGTTAAACGTGGCAATTATAAATATAAATAACTAAACTAGTAATTTTAATAATTTATGTAAGATCGATTTAAATTACATAAACGCAATCTGAATCCTACTAAGTGACCTACTTTTTTGTTTTTTATTACGCGTGTATACAGTTACTAGTATATTACCTTATGTTAGTAAAAATCTACAACCTTTTTCTCCCTCGTTGCTATGGGGAAAGAGGCCTAGCAACCAAAACGCATTAAAAACACGTGCCAAATTCAAAACAGCTGATTAGATCAACGCATCTTCTCCTCCGAAGTGTGCGTTCATGTAAATCAGTTTTTTTCATATCCCAGTTGTCTATCTTGCTAGATCGGCCTAAAGCCTAATAAAAATGGAATGGCTCTTAAGATTCCATCAGTAACGGAGTCGTATTAATCGATAATTAATTATGGTTAATCGAATTTTGACGTTAAGGAATCGATTAATATGCGATTAATAGCTCGACATATATCGCCTAGAATTTATAAGTAATCCTAATATAAATTTTGATATCTTAGTACCTACATTTTTAGTTAGTACCATCATTAATAAAAGTATTTTTATAGATAGACAGTTTTGCCCAATTACACTATATGATTAAAAATTATAATAAATATTATTGACTTATGATCCATACAAGTGATCTCTATTGGCTCGTCGGATTCGATCCAACATTTTTCTAATCAATTTGTAATTTTTCTGAAACATTGGACTTCGTCTGGAAATCTGGATTATTAAATGGACGGTAGGAATATCGAAATTCGTCCGGTCACGGAACTCCGTCCACAGATGAAAAAGTTGCGAAGCGTGAAGCTTTATCGTGTTCGGTTCGGACTGTGCATTTCCGAATATCCAAAGCCAAAATGGGTTGATAATGATAGCTTATCATCTTCTTTAGATGTTATTCTTATATGTGGGTAAAAAACTGTGTCTAGTATAGTCTTAATGCGTCTCTCATAATGTATTTCGTAATAAGTAAGTTATGTCGCCCGAGGAACCCCAAAAACTAGTCAGTGCAATGATAATGCAGGACAAAGCCCTCGCGCGGTTTTTTGCCACAATCGTGTTTTACAATGTGTTACGTAATTTCGTCGCCGGCGCATTTAGTAATTAATTCAATTAGTGTTTTTCGTAATTGCTATTTATATTAAATATGATTTAATCTATAGTAAAATTGTAAAGATAACTAGTAATTTTTTTAGTATGTTATTCTTTTAAGAAATAACTAATAAATTGAGCAGATCCTTCAAATAAACAGATTCGTTAAAACACACATTTGACTTGTATATATCAATATATAAATTTTTAGACATTGGTATTTTAGTATTCCCTTTGAAAAGTTGCATATGCTGGCATTATATAAGATAACTACTTACATTAATCAATGACAGAGGCGGGATTGGAACCGGCATCTATCATCGATTTTCTTACTGCAATCTGTGCTGCTACTCTAAACAATTCAGCTATTTCAGATTAAATACTGTCTGTAGTTTACGCGAGTAGTACACATTTAAATAAAACACTTTAACGGTTTAAAACGCGATATATTTTAGTCTAACAAGTTTAACTAAGATATATCGCGTTTTGAACCGTTAAGTGTGCTATTTCAGATTTTAAATTTTTTAACCTTTCCACTTTCAATCGAAATCGATTTTTTATCTATGTTAATTTCGAATGAGACAAAAAAAAATATTTTTATTATTCTTGTAGATTTTTTTGCTACAATATTTTAAATTAATGTTATTACGTATTATCCAAAAAAAGAACAAGCCCCGACTGTTCTAAATGTAAATGTAAAAATAAAAATTGGAAATACTAGAAGCGCTCACATTACCATGTTTTGGCATCGGTCGCGCCGCATCGCCGGTTTAGATGACAAAAAAGTGACGTCAGATAGGTCAGACTGTCAAAAAACTCGCAAGGTTATAAATATTATGCGGGTTTCCTGTGCCAACCTGCATTCTTGATTAGGGGCGTTGACCGGTTCTCGGATGAGACAGATCGCGAGTACTATGCACCTTAGTTCAAATGCTAATGTATGTATAGTATAAGGTGACTACTAGTATTGTGGAGATACAAAAAAAAGAAAATCTCTTAATATTTACTGTTTATCATTCTATGTGTCAAGTAAAGATGATAACATAACACAAATATATGACACGAACCAGAAATATAAAACGCGTTTTAAACCGTTAAAGTGTTTAATTAAAAGTCTACTACTGGCGTAAACTACAGACAGTAATTAGTTATGCAATTTTATTTACAGACCTCTTTGGTTTTTGATTTATGCCTTTGCGATAATTTAAAATACGAGTACAAATACTTAGGTTTCGAAAACAAATGTGATTATTATATTGATTACATAAAATATTATTTGGATAAACGGAAGTACGTAGTTTTGCGCATGCGCAGTGATCTTTAACTAGAGTCAAATGTTAGTGAACCGTGGCATTGAATCCCTTTTTCTTAGATCTCATTTAAATCACAAATGTCGTGAGCTGAAGCTTTACTTTGATTTATTTCTAAAAAAACTATATACAGTGTAAACTCTATATAACTACATTGAAGGGACTGCATTTTATGGCATTATAGAGAAGTTTATACATTTTGGCAACTTAACAGGTACGTTTTATTCACTTGTTGATGTTATTGAGGGTTTGACTCTATGTGGCGTATATGTGGCGTATGGTAGACCAAGCTAAACCAACCAAAGTCAATTGATTTCAACGCTTAGAGACTTTGTCATTAAAGTAACGTTACATGGAGTTTACACTGTAGTTTATGTTATTGTAATGTTTATTATAAATAATTACAATCAGGTTACAACTATAAGAGTATTCAAAGAAGTTTCAAGTGAGTACCTGTCAAAAAACGTATTGTTTAATTTTCTTAATGAGGCAGATTATGTGGATAAAGTCATTGATTTATTCCTCCATAACAATTTGATTTATAATCCCATTAACGACGTTCCTTGAAACATACAATATTGTCTCACTGATAAAAAGTCCAAACACTATATAAATAATACCATGCTTTGGGCATTGACAGTCTAGCTCTAGTGTCTAGGGTAATTTGCATAATTTAAGTTCACTGCAAATAATAATAGTGGGAACAGTGTCAGCGATCTCTATGCGTTTCTGTCTCGAGACTAAATTGGGTGTAACTTATATATACGACACTTTGGGGAGAGTTATTCTGTCTGTATATTGAAACTTTCAACATGAGATCACGAAATACTAAAGTGCGTAATGGGTACATTTTAGAATATAAAAAAATTCACTTTATGATTCGCAACTTAAATTTTCAGTAAGAGGTTATGCACCTTAATATTTGAACTTTTTTGATAGATATATATTTTTACAATTAATCCCACGAGTAGATGCGCGCGATTCATTTAGTGTTAGGCGCACACGGGAAACCAGCTTGTCCCGTCTGTGCCGTTAAATAAATCGGAAATTTGCCAATTTTGGTTCTAGAGAACTGTTATCGTTAGTATGTCTAGACATTGGCGTATACGCTGCCTATTGCATCATAGTAAGAATGAGTTTGACTCATATGTCGAATCGAATTCCGAATTAAAGCTTTAGACTTTAAAAATATTGTATCTTTTAAAGCTCACTTTTCCTGTACTATAGCGGAGATTCTACACAGATTAGAAATATAGAAAGATTATGCTATCGAGAACATTTTCACTGTTGAATTTTCAAAGATCAGTTTTGTCTATAGTGTATGCGAGTTAAATATAACATTTTCAACGGTTTAAAACGCGAAATACTCGCCTGGTCGTAGTTAAATTTAATGTTTGTAATTATATGCGATTAGGTTACAAAGTCTTGTCTAGATTAAGTATTCCTAGGCATAGACGTTATAACTCATCTGTATCTTATTCGGTAGTCATTGGCTATTACCTGGATGTTGCTGACAAGGGCGAAGGCGGACGGGTTTCGCTATTCGCTATTGTGGGTAGTTAGATACGAGCCGATGAACTTGTATAGTGTAAGAGCTAGTGGTCTTGTATTTCATTTTTAAAATGCATCTACCCTGCATGAACTGCTTTCATCTACGGTACATGTAAGAAGTTTTGTAAATTTTTATTTGTATGTATATTTTTCTATACCGTATTGGATTGAGTCACATTTGCTGTCAGTCTATAAGGATATACCTCGAGTAAATGATGATTATGATTGATGAATCAAAGGTTTAGCATCTTTTTTTTTTAATAGCTAGAGGCCGCTACGGACGTGGCTAAATGTTTAGACGTGTTGTCTACGTTAAGTGCGAGAGGTTTGTTTCGAATCCCCGGAAAACAGAAATGTGTACGTCTCATACAGCGAACTTTAATATTGAGACCAAACTACTTCAGCTCAACTAGTTGACATTTGAAAATGTTTTAAAACGTGGGGGCAGCATATCAGTTCAATTTATAATTGAGTAGAAAACAAACGATAATCACCTCCTAGACTATATTGCATATTTATTATCGTCGCTGTTGCATAACTTGTGATCATGCCTTGATCGCGTATAAGCGAACGATTAATTGAAGCAAGGCATAGATTTAACCGAAGATTTAATTTTACTAGATAAGATTCCTCGTTGAGTAGGTAAATGGCTATACATCCATAGTCAAGTTGGTACATTCCTGATATTTATCTTCTGTGCTTGTTTATGGTCGAGTCCCAGTATTGGGAGCCTTAAAGAACGCCATATCATAATTAATTTGTTTTTACAGGTGACTCGATTATGTGATCTATCTTCGGAAGGTAACACGGTGACTTCGGTGGCTTGGAGCGAACGAGGACATTTGGTAGCAGTCGGTACACAAAAGGGTCATATCAGCGTTTGGGATGTGGCAGTCAATAAAGAGGTGAGCATCACTAAAAACCACGCGATAAATCCGAAATCGATAGATGATCTGGGTTCCAAAGTCGGGGAAATAAAATCGAAGAGCTAAATAGAAACGTCATGTTTGGCCCGTTCACTGTTCAAATAAAACACTTTAACAGTTTAAAACGCGATAATTATTAGTTAAACTTATTAATAATCGTTAACAGTCTCCCCGTGACCGCGACTGCTGCAAAGCATCCGTAACGTCGGGCCGTAGTTAAAATTATTTTCGAATAGGTTTAACTAATATAATCGCATTTTAAACCGTTACTTGTTTATTTAAATGTGTACTACTCGCGTAAGCGCTCTGGCATAACGTGTTTTAACGTTTAGTAATTTATTTAAGTAAATTGAAATATATTTGCCTCTATATATATTTATTTGTTTACATATAGTGCATAGTATCGAACAATTATTTCGTAACTAAGTATTTAAAAGATTATAACGACAAGTACATACCAAAGGTAGTTTAACGTCGTAATTGGAAAATTTACTACTACTTGAAGTACACGTTAACGATGTCAAAGATAGTTTTCTTTTAAAGATATACGAGCTACAATAAGGCTTCAATCCATTTTCTGAATGTTTTATTACCTATCACGAACGTCGTAAAACAATAAATTATCAATTAAATCGTGTAAAATACAAATCCCCCAGCAACGCAGGTGTGATTCGAATTAGTTGAAAATAGTTTTATTGCACACAATAACATTGCCCTCGTTCCAAACTAGATTTGGCGCGACCTGTTCTAAGTAAATATTATTAACAATGCACGTTGCCAGATATGCTGGAGTATTATTAATGTCTTTGGAGTTCGCTGAACTTAATTTTCAAATGCTGTAGTAGAGATGTAATAAATAGTGTATATTATCACAATTTAAAATACTTATGTCCCAATTGTGTTGCATTATTATCCCCCCCGCCCCTCCCCGCCCCTCATCGCCCCACACCAAGGAACGAAAACATTTCTGCGTCCATTTCACTGATCGGATGGATACATTTACAAGCAGGTAGTTGATCAGACTTCTGTGCTCTGCCCGACCGAAACAGTCCAATGTTTCCTCGTGATTCGAACCCAGGAATCCAGGAGGCGCTTAACGCAATGCTAACCAACACGTGCAAGTAGTGTACACTTAAATAAAGACTTTAACGGTTTAAAACGCCAAATATAATATACACGGCTGCTGCAAAGCATACGGAATGTCGGGCCGTAGATAAAATAATTTGTATATAAGTTTAAGTAATGTACTTCGCGTTTTAAACCGTTTTTAGTGTTTTTATTTAGAAGGCATTAGTTTCTGCTGCTTTTGGGACAAAAGTTATATAGAACCTTCTTTTTCCAGGTCTCAAAGCTCCAGGGTCACGTCGCTCGAGTGGGCGCTTTAGCCTGGAACGGAGATATGCTAAGTTCCGGCTCCCGTGACCGTCACATCAGACAGAGAGACACCAGGACACCACGTAAGTGTCAATTTATGTTCTAACAAATATTCTCCTATATGGTGGTAAGAAGTTCAATAGGTTGAGAACGTGAAGAACAGTTACTTATATAAGAGAAAATATTACATATAAAAAGATAACACTTAGATTAGAATTAGACAGTTATTGTAACTACAAAACTAATTTTTTGTCTCCCGATTAAGTCTTATCTATGAAATTATTATAATAAACCTCTTTAACATATCTAATGAAAAATTATGTGAGGGCCGCTTTATTTTGTTTATCCAGTCAACTCAATCGACATAGATATACATGTAACTATACTATATAAATAAACATATATGCCAAGTTTAGTAAGTACATTTTACACGTACAATAATCTTATTGATCTACCACCATCACCACAATTTTTTTTCGCAAAATGTGTCTTTTAAATTGTCTTACTGACGCATTTTTATTTTGACAAAAGCCAACATTGTAAATGGCGTAACCGATTTTAAACTTATTAAAAATTTATTTTTCATACCTGAATACACAGATTTGTATACTTTTAAAAACTTAACTTTCTACCTTGCAACCAAAGTATTTTTACAGTTTGTATTAGGAAAGTTTTGGTATATATAATCATACTGTAAATAGTTTTAGTAACGCAATTAATATATTAAATGATGATAGTATTTACTGCACCATTTAGGACACAAATTATGCGGTTGAATATGTTATATTTAGCCTCGTAAACATGTTTTGCACAATGTTTTGTCATTATAATTTTCCCACAATTATAATGCCATTTGGAGATATGTCGGGCTCGTTTGTTGGTTTTATGAAAGAGGAAGATCAGAAGAAGGAAGCATGGAAACGATGGAAGATTAAATAACCCAGCTATATAACATCTTAACAAGATGCACTGTCGACGAATATTTTTTTGATATTCGACCACAGACTGAACTAAAAGGCGATTAAAATTCACGACTTTTTCTGTGGACGGCAGCTCGTGACCCGGACGGAATTGCGATATTTCTATCACCCGTTTAATATCCAGACAAAGTCCAAGATATTCCTTGAGAAATTATACTCGTTGATAATTATCCATATTAATTTCTACCATTACCATCCGGAGTTACTAAATATATGCATATCGAGCAGTTTATCTTTTATTATTCATTCAAACCCTGAAATATCAAGATCGTATTACTATTTTTATTTTTAATGATTTGTTTTAATTCCAGCGACACAAGCCTCCCGTGTGCTACAAGGGCATAGACAAGAGGTGTGCGGTTTGAAATGGTCACCGGACGGACAGTCCCTCGCCTCGGGCGGCAACGACAATAAGCTGTTTGTATGGTCTATGGTAAGTGAAGCATTTAGCTTGTTTTGTCTTATTCGGGTCCAACATGTTTCTAATCAAATGCTGTCTATAGTTTACGCGAGTAGTACACATTTAAATAAAACACTTTAACGGTTTAAAACGCGATATATCAGTTAGTTAAACTTATTTGAACATGATTTTTAACTCCGGCCCGCGGTGTGGGATGCTTTGCAACAGCCGGGGCCCCGGGGTTTCCCCCCCCCGCCATTTTTTTTTTTTTTTTTTTTTTTTTGGGGGTTTTTTTTAAATCCCCCCGGGGTTTTCCCAAAAAAAAAAAACCGGAAAAAAATAAATTTTTTCCCCCCCCCCTTGGGGTAAAAAAAAAAAATTTTTAATATTTTTTTTTTTTTTTTTTTTTTTGGTTTTTTTTTCCCCCCCCCTCTTTTTTTTTTTTTTTTTTTTCCCCCCTTTTTTAATAAAAATAAAATTTTTTTTTTTTTTTTTTTTTTTTTTTTTTTTTTTTTTTTTTTTTTTTTTTTTTTTTTTTTTTTTCCCTTTTTTTTTTTTTTTTTTTTCATAGTACCTTCTTAACCCGAATTATTTATTATGTTTTCCTAGGATTTGAACTTAGGAGGTCTAGACTACAATAAGATTGAGTAACGGAAAAGGGCTATTTCAATTTTACTTATTTAAGATAATGCGTAAAAGTTTAAAATTAAGTTTGTCTAAGCGTTCAAACTTTTTTAAATAAGCTGTGTATGTTGAAATAGCTAAAATAAAATATTAGATACGGTGGGAGCGCGGTTTGCGGTCCGTGCATATAAAATCTATGACAATAAACATTTTGCGGTTGCCGTCCGATAACGATTTCCTATCTAGTGCACATTGCGAGTAATAATACGATTGATTTCATATGAATCGTATTTCTAGTATATTTAAATAAAACACTAAACGGTTTAAAACGCGTAATATACTAGTAAATTTAGTTTTAATTTAAATACCACGGGGGGACGGCTGCCACAATATATTAGTTTAATATATCGCTTTTTAAACCCTTATTTAAAAAAAACTAATATACGTTCCATATTAAACCGTTAATAATGTTATATGTAAATTGTATAAGAAATAGATATTATGTAAACATGCATTATTAATAATTAATCGTCTCCTTTCCAGCATTCGACGTCCCCAGTGCAGACGTACGCAGCGCACGTGGCAGCTGTCAAGGCGATCGCGTGGTCCCCCCACCAGCACGGGCTGCTGGCCTCCGGAGGGGGGACGGCTGATAGATGCATCCGCTTCTGGAATACTCTTACCTCGCAGCCGATGCAGTGTGTCGATACTGGTCAGTATTTATTCTGTGCTCGTTTACATTTTAGGTATATATTTTTCATTCCCTTTATTTTTTCCCTTTTATTTAAAGTCTATCACTTATGCTACTCAAACAGCTTTATCCACTTTATGTAAACTTAGTTTGAGTTAAAATAACATAGAGTAACATTATGACATGTCCACATTTCATTACAAAATTATAATAAAGTTTAAATAAAACGTGTTTAACAGTTTAAAACGTGAAATATGTTAGTGGTGAAGGAGAGAGAAGCATACAAAACGGTCGTAGTTGAAAAAAATATAAATATATGTTTAGTATTAAACAGTTAAAAAAGTGTAGATTGCCGTTCGGTATTTATTCTAAATGTTTATTATCTTCACCTTCAGGGTCTCAAGTGTGCAACCTGGCGTGGTCCAAACACTCGAGCGAGCTGGTTTCCACTCACGGTTACTCCCAGAATCAGATACTCGTGTGGAAATATCCTTCGCTTACGCAGGTAAGGTATTTTTATTATAAAAAACCAATTGTTTGGTTTCAAAGTTTTACATATAGATGTCACTATTTACAAAAACTTGGAATATTTTTTTTATAGAGGAGAACAGGAAAGCATACGTTTATCTTGATGGTAGGTGAAATATCCTAGTCAAAACAAAAAATCTGGTCCGCTGTCGACCTTTTTCGGTTTCAGTTTGTGGATATTCGGATTTCCGAACTGAACTGACACCGAATGCTGAAACCGAAATGCAATTAAACTTCGGGCTTTTCTGTGGACGGTGGTAGACTATAACCACATTTCCAGGCGAAGTCCCAACAACAAATTATAAATGAATTAGAAAAATGTTCGATCCCGTGGGTATTGCTGTCTTTACAACCTTAGAAACCTTTTCTTTTTGTTCACAGGTCGCCAAACTTACCGGTCATTCATACAGGGTGCTCTATTTAGCGTTGTCACCGGACGGTGAAGCGATTGTCACTGGGGCCGGCGATGAAACGTTGCGTTTTTGGAACGTATTCTCCAAAACACCGTCGCACAAGGAAAACAAGAGCGTCCTCAACCTCTACACGGCGCTCAGATAAAGTGTTGCCTGTTAAACATATAATTTACCACATATTAATGTGTTAAATGATACAACACTTAATAAGTAATTTTTTGATAGACGTGATGAAAGTTGTGTCAAAAGGTGTGCAGTGTTTTGTGGTGTTTGGGTGTGTTTCGGTCTAAGTGTTGCCATGTATGGATATTTCGTACACGTTTATCGAAAAATGCGTGCTTATGAAGTTTGAAACAGGTAGTAATATACAAATCTGCATAATATAAAGTCGTTTTTGTATATAATTGTGAAAATATGTGTCCGCAATATATTGTTATATTTCGCGGTCACCAATAATATTTTCCGCGGACCGATTTTTCTACATACGATCTATCACGCGGTGTTGCCAGATGGCATAGACAATTTACCAAAACAATTTTGGATTGTGATCATATTTTAGATGTATTTAGTGTATTTTTATATTTCGCTGTGCAACTTTTTATAGTTTACTTGTATTTATTATCATGTGCATTTACTTATTGTTAAAGGTGAAAGCTGAATTTTCAGTATTGCTATCTCTGTCGTCCATATGATGAAGTGGGATAGCAGGATTTGAGATACGTTTTCACTTGTATATCAATCGAGTTATAGAAAAAACATATTCATATTATTTTTAGATCGATAGTATACAATAATTTGTGTATTAATTGTACACTCGCGAAAGAGATGTTTAGTACAACTTATACACAAATTTGGCTAATATGTATATTGCGTTTATATTACTTATACATTGTTAAGAATGACTTTTGAAATCGTGGTTTAAAATACTAGAAATTAACTCAAATAATCAAGTTGCTAACGTAAATAGGACGGATGATAAATAATTTGCTAGTATATATATAGATGTCGCTGTTTTCAAAATCTATCGAAGTACTAAACCATGCATGCTATTTCTTTCTTAATCACTTAATAATAGCTTTACCGTAGAATAACAAAATGTAAAACACCGATTAGTCTATAGATCTTGTAAATATTCATTCGAAACTACGTTTTGAGAATTTATGTAGATTTTACTTTTCGCTTGCCCCTTAGTTCATATTGTCGGGGAATTGGCATTTATAGGATACGTCTAATAAAAGCGGTACCTCTTATGATCTCATAATGTCGAACGTAACAAAATTCTAACAAAAACTAAATTATTTCGGTATTTATTCTTGGTATAACTTATTTTTAGGATCTGCTCAGGGCAGGATTGTCTTTTGTCTCTTTCCAACGTTCGCGGTGGAAAGGGACGCGTGTATTCCACCGTACTCCCGCTTTGAGCAACGTCGAGGTACCCCCGTAGTTAAGGTTTTGGTTGTTTGTAAATTAATTCCTATTAGTCGTATTTTCAATTGGATTTGTGCAATTTAGTTTAATTAAGCGTGTCTGTTGCTGCCGTTCCTGCGGCTGAACTGAAAACGGTGATGCTTTGAACGGAGGTAACAGCCCCAAGTGTAGTGGTATGGTCGACACCAAATATTATTAAAAAATTGTGTACGTGTTTCGGTGTTCAACACTATTAGGTATTTTCAATTTTATGTCGTTTATTGATTTTTTTTTCCTTCAATTAATTAAACGGTTTTTTTGTTTCTACTAAATTGAGTATTGACTTCTATTGACTATCTGTTACTTTAATTATACATATAATAAAAACTCCCCTATACAATCTATCCTATTCTTCATCACAAGAACTCGATTAACGACTTAAAATACTAAATTAACGATTAACGACCGCGAAGCTAAAACTTAATGCACGCTTGTAATATATGTAAACGCGGTTAGCGTTAAAGAGTTATTTATACATAGAGAAAGATAATATATTGATGCACTATGTAAAGATAGACTGATATAGATAATAAAAATAAGTGTTCATATGTTATCTGTATTAGAATAAATATTGTGTGATTAAAATGTTCTTTTATTTTTGTTCCTATTTACCGGGGTACAGGGAAATGGGGGGGGATATATTTCTGTATCCGTTCTATCGAGTTTGACAGATAAGCACAGGGTTTACTTGATCGTAGGTTATTCTAGCATTATATCATCTAAGCAATATGCGCTATGACATTTCGACTTTGGGTATTAGGAAATCCACAGATTAAAACCGAAACGCGATCAAACATAACGCCTTTTTTTCTGTGGGCGTCCAGATTTGATGACGTAGTCTAACATGTTTCAGAATAATTATAAATTTCAACCCGACATTCTCACCATTAAACCAACAAGCCCGCCATTTTACCTTGTATTTGTAGTTTGTAGGCATTTTATTGCTACGGCGTAGCGGCTTGCTACAGTTTGCTACACGTGACATTTACTTCAGTCACAAAGCCCATTACACTTACTATATAATATGTTAGCTTATATCTTCACAACATCTACGACTAATTGATGTTCTGTAATACTTAAGTTTATTTATAGCAAATTAAATCTAATATTTTATGTCATTATATCTCTATTTCTAGGTAACACAGTTGGAATTATTATACTAGATTGTATATAATTTCGTATGATTTATGTCATAAATACGATTAAGAAATCGTCTTATTTTAACGTTATAAGACGCGGCTCCGTCTTCCTAGGTGTATATATTATGTACAGCGCATACAAGATAGGGGAAGGTCAGACGATGTGCAGGGTAAATGATTTGTGTAGCGAACGTAAGATAGAGATCACGGAACTATCATATTTTAATTATTTAAAATCTCATCCTAATACTAATATACTTACTATATACGCACAACCAAGCTCAATTATTTTCCAAGCTACGTATTTCAGAATCAGACGCTATTCTTTTCGCAACAAAAGTAATTATTGATATCCCCAATGGCCACGACCATTAATACAATTAGTTAATTGACGTTTACGTTTTAAACCGTTCAAAGTGTTCATTCAGTCATTCAAAATGTAAAAATCCCCGTGCGTGAATCTTTCCAAGCTTTTTCTTATAAGAAAAGCGATTTTTTGTATATTTTTGTACAGTGTAGTCTTAGTTACGTAGTGATAAACTCGTTGCCAAATTCTACTTAGATCTACAATATTAAAACGAACGAAAATTAGGAAACTAATGGAAATAGAACTTATTACCAATGATACTCTTCAATTTGAGAAGTTGGGCATGGGTTGTAGCCCCGTTGAAGTCATCATTTTTTTAACTCAAGTTATTATCGCATTTACGCAACTAGCACAAGTTTAAATAAAAGAAAAGTTTAAGTGTTTAAAACAGGAATGTTTGCAAAAAGGTGTGGTACAAATAAAACATATAAGCTGAAAATAATTACGACACGGCCAATACATACCGGCACCAAAGTTTCGTGCTGTTGCTCTAACGGCTAACCAATTGAGCTACTGAGTCCTACGCACCTTATAATAATCTTAAATTTATAATCGAATTATAATTTATACAATGCCATCATGTCAAAAATATTGAAGTTTTCAAATATAAGTAAGCTCCACCTTGTCATTTACTCTGTTCTAACGCTAGCTAATAAGTCACAAATTGTAGGGGAGCTACAGACGTTGCCGGGAGCTATCTTACCTCGACGGTAGAACCAACTGCAAACTAGCTTTCTAGTGGACCACTTAAATAACTCATTCTTCAAATGACAATTATTCGTATAATGTCCAAATTTACCAGACACTGGATCACACTTGGTCAGATGTTTTTTTTTAATAATTTTGATTTTAGTATCTGATGGCATTATATTATTTAAAATTAATAATAGAGGACAAACATAGGAAGGTAAAATACCCCAGCCATATAAAATCTACACAAGGTGCGCTGTCGACCTATTTCGGCTTTGGATATTCGGAAATCCACAGACTAAACCGAAACACGACTAAACTTCAAGGCTTTTTTATCTGTGGTTCGTGACCCGGACGGAATTTTGATATTCCTAACACCCATATTGATATCCAGATTATAAATTAAATTCCACGTTGATTATTATGTTACCGTTAGACCAATGAGCCCGTGGATTGATAAAAAATTACGACATGGGCGGGACTTGAACCTGCTTCCTAGCGTTACGTACTACTGCAGAATTAGAGTAGCATGAAATAGCCAACAACTTAAATAGGTTTTTAATTTAAATACTGTCTATAGTTTACGCGAGTAGTACACATTTAAATAAATCACTTTAACGGTTTAAAACGCGATATATTTGTTAAACTTATTTGAAAATGATTTTTAACTTCGGCCCGACGTTTCTGCTACTTAAAGTGTATTATTTAAAAGGTTTTTAATTTGTTCAAAAAACCGAATATAAATAACTAACATGCTGGACCCGACGAGAATCGAACCTACGATGTGGTTATTAGTCATACTTTGCTACCATTAAAGCCGAACGATAAGAACGAACCCGTCGATACAAATAGACATGTAGTACTTTTGTTGTATCTTAATTTTTAAATGATCATGCTAAGCATTGTCTGTAGATTCCGCGAGTAGTGCAAATTCAAATAAAACTGTATTAACGGTTTAAAACGCAAGATGCAACATGAAATCAAGCATCAGAAACGTCTGACCGTAATAAAAATAAATTAACATACATCGCGTTTAAAACCGTTAAAAGTGTTCATGCTAATTTGCTTTAAAAAGTGTGACTTATTAACACTATCAACTGTAAACCTCAGAAACAGCCATTGCCATATTAGTGGAATGATTTATTATCTGTGGAAGTGGGTTTGTGTAACAAGGGTGCTCCCTCGGGTGGAAGTAATCGATTTTTAACGCATTCAAATTTAGAACGCTACTTAGCTGATCTGAAGTTTAAATTTCCCATTTTCATTTCATCCTTTTCTGAAAAACATTTTCGTTTATGTAATAATGTTTCGAAGGATTTTCTTACAAGGAAAGTGTTTTTTATATTGTGTTGTAGACAGTAATCGTTGTGAAGAACTCGTTGTCAAATTTTACGTAGATCAAAAATATATGTTAGTTTAAAAGAACAGATACAGGCAGGATTAGAATCCACTACCGTAGCCAGCAGTGCTCTATTGGGTTCA